ACATGAGATTCAAATTGGAAAGAAAGTTATTCGATGGGGAAACAAAATAGAAATTGGTTTATTATATATCACTAATTTATTTAATAAGTAGAGCTTCATTAAAGAGACAATTATACAATATTCTTGCATGTCTTAATAAAACAATTTTCATATTTCAAAAATGTTGTAACATTTAAAATAATTTTCTTCTACGTACTCATTTCTTACAACAGCATGAACGTACGTTTCATTTGTTGTAACGTTCTAATTTTTATTTTATTTTATTTTAACGAGTGGTGATTAGATTTGTGATGATAATTATAGTACATTTACTTGCATGGAATCAAGACAGATGCTACATATGTATGTAAGGAAGAAAATTACTATGCAAATTTAACCTACTCTCTTTATATTAAAAAAAAATGAAAATTATGAAGGAAGTATTCACAAATAACTTTATGATATTTATGGTTAAGGGGATCAAAGGAAGATAGCTAAAGGACTATATGAGAAACATAGCGAAATGAATAAGAAACGAGAAACACTTCTTTTTACGTATTACGAAACAGAGAGGCTTGTTGGCTTCTTAGACCATCCTCAATAGGAGTATTTTAGGAGGCTAAGATACCCCCATTGATGATGCCCTTAAACCACCATTATTGGTAGTATCTTAGACTAAGATACTACCAATAATCTTGCTCTTAGCCATTACATGATCATGGTAATGTTGGGGATATAATAGCACCAAAAGTAGTAAAAGTCGTATGTGCATGTTTTGCTAAATGATCCACAACTTGATTTGCCATTCGGGGAGTGTGAACGCGGACGACTATACCTAAATACCTAGAGTGTTTGACATTCGTGTGACGTGGTACTCAGGGAAACTCATCTAGTACCTATGAACACTATCTTCCAACAAGATAGAAGAAGCTGTCGAATAACAAAATACTTATTGTTTTACTATATTAAGTACTGAATTGACATAACCGGTAGATAGATCAAGCCATCAAGGTAACGTTAGTGAAGATCATATTAAGAAGTGATTCGAGGGTTTGTTGAGTAGGGTATGATTAATTTATACATGTTTGTCCATGTACCAATATGTGTATGCATGATTGTATGGTCATTAACTCATTATAGATCCTTCATACTAAGCTCTTTTCATCAAGAACTGATTTTTTTTTGTTGCAATAACACTTTCATCTTTCTCTATATATTGTAACAAAATCTGAATAACTTTTGTGTAATTCATTCATATGGAGACAAGAGCTCGTGAATCAGTGAAGCTTGCATTATTCATGGGACTTTTTTTGGCCCACAAACAAAAGTGTTAGAATACAAAAAAAAATGTGTGTATGGAAACGATATATATATATATATATGTATGTACATGTATTTCTTAAATTAACTTGAAAATGTTTTATATACGTTCCGACTCATCCTCTATATGTTTTAAATTCCTCCACATTGTTTCCAACATCAAAATGAAAAAACTTTATTTTAATCTTGTTTTAACAACAAATTAATCAAATATGATATAATGTTGTTATAGAATTATGTTTTTTATTTTCTTATAAACGAATTCGACCTTGTTTTATCATTCAGCAATACAAACATTTTATATATTGTTGTATTATGGAATTATCAGATACTATTAAATTTAAATGTTAAACTGTCACCAAATATAATTATGTATCAAATCAAACGGTAATTAATTTATATGATTTTTGTTCTTTTTGATATATATTATTACAAATTACAATTGATGAACGATAAATAAAAACAATCTAATATATAAACGGATTTGTTCTAACCATCGTAACCATTTAAACTTAAGGAAAATGACAAGTGAACTAGTGGTTCTCACCTCTGTTGCCTTCACATTATATCCGGGTTCGAGTTCGATTTTTCACAAAAAGAGACGTATAATTTCTAACGATGTCAAAAAAAAAACATTCAAACTTTAAGTTAAAACTTTTTTTTTTTAACAAGAAGTAGTTATTATATATGCAAAAGTAAAAAGCATATGTCTTTTGTTTTTTACAATATATGGTTTGGTAAAAGTATAATATTAAATTCTTGACTTGAGAAAAAAATGACACATGTCGGCGAGCTAAAAGCCTCGAACGTCCCGCTGGTCTATCTGATGTGGAGAAACGTCCCCACACGGTTTGCTTCGTTGCGGCAATAACTAAGAACAAAAGCTCACAAAAAGCAAATTTTGTTTAGACAAATAAATCTTTTTTTGATTACTACTAATCTCAAAAAGCGATTTGTTTTGTTCTTTTCTTTTCTTTAAATTAAACATCTAATGATTAATTAAAACCTGGTAGTTAGGCTGTTAGGTGTTGCAAATTCTTATTATAAACTAAAACCTTAATGGAGTCGGTTATCAAATAATTTGTATCCATGCTTTTGTATATGATATGAATATAAAAGATTCGAAGATATGTTTGGTTTTTTTTTTAAATAGTGTTTTGGGTTTTTTAAAACAGTGTTTATATACTTATGTGCATATCTTTTATGAAGAAGTCATAATTCTATGCTGACTTAAATAAATTTTATTAGTGCTCCTTGCAAAAGTCATGCCGTGAAATCATAATCACCATACGATATGATTATGCTAAATTTGATATACTATTTATTTAGCAATTCAAAAACAAAAAATGTAATAAATTAGTTAATATATAGGCATTAATCTAGGTTTAGGGTAAATTTAGGTTTATAGGCATTAATCTAGGTTTAGGGTAAAAGCTCCCGAAAGGCACGAAACAATATATACATAATATATTATCAAATCTTTGACGAATATGTTCGATTTTGTAATGCATGATTAATTAAGAAACTACAAAACTATTAATGTGCATATATATGTATAGATACTCGACACTTAAGTAAACTAAGGCCAGCAAGTAATACATAATATTTGAATTGGTTTTTAGTTTATAAGTTTTAATTGATTTGTCATGCAAAATTATTCAAATGAATTATCCATTGATTACCAATAAGATCTTACTTATACTAGCTAACATAAAATCTAAGTGACTAGACACCACACCAAACCTTATAATATAGTTTTAATGTATATATATTCTCTGAAATAACAAAGAACCAACACTGCATAATATATAGTTTTCTAATCGTCAAATTCATCTTGTGAATTGCACATACGTCCAAAGCAGCCACACCACTTTGACGTAGAAACAAATCGACATCTTCTGAAGTTGTATTAACACTAATAATAATACTAAAATTTTCAAGAAAACACAAAGCTAATAAATAAACCCGTGATCGATAGAGAAACTTTAAATGTTTTTCGAAATAAATCAAAACACGATCACACAACCGATACGATCAAAGAAAGAACTTGTCATGATGATGAACCACCGACTCTTTCTTTCACACCTTCTTCTACTTTTTTATACTATTGCATTATTATTATGTAACTGCTTCTTTTATTATATACTGTATATGTATATAGTATAAGTTTGATATTTAATAATCACAAAAAGTAGAGGTTAGGATACACCAAACCCTAATTAAATTTTAGTATTGACATTATGTCTATTAATTTCCGTGGAATTTGTTGATATAGATTTTTTTATATTTTCCATATATATCTCTAAAAAGCTGGCAATTTATTTCTTATTTAATTTTGTGTAGAAATTAGCATACCTTTGACCAAAAATATGAAAGCTAGTAGTGGGGGAAAATGAGAACCACTGATTAAATTAAAACACTGATGAGAAAAAATAAATAAATAAAGAAATAAAGCCAAAACTTTGCATTTTTTTTGGTAAAGACATCTTTAGCACATAATCAAACACTCTTATCTTCTTTTGGGACTATGTATTTATAATCTCCACACAAAATAGTAATCACGTTTTTAATAAAATATTTTTATACTTACATTTCAAAAAAATGTGGAATTGAAAAGGTATTAATGTGTTTTTCTATATAATTAACCGAAAAAGTGTTGTTTATATCTTCTTTGATGATTTTGGAAACTTTAGAGATAAGTGAAAACTATTGAACAAAAATGGAATCAGAATACTAGAGATGATCTTTCCTTGCATAAATTTCAATTTTAAACTCTAATTTCTTTTGTTGATTAGTAACCTATATCAATTTGATCATCCAAAACAGGACATGACCTTGAATTTTTTCTTTCTAATATGGATATCAAAGTCATTACATAAGGCAAAGTCTAAATTAAAAATATCTAAAACAATTTTTTTATAAAAAAACTATAAATATCAACAATAGTACTGTTTAGTCTTTAGATATTTATAGTTTCCTACAATATTTAGAAAATAATAATAATAAAAATAACTTTTTCCATGTAAAAATTTCACATTTTTTAGAAGACAATTCGTTCTCGAATTCGGATGCATATATAGTGTAACATAATTTTTCCTCATTTTGAGTATAATTCTCATCAATTCTTAAACATCATGTTATTTCTTAACCACATCTAAACAAAAATCAAATTTATAACATAATTTCGAGCTAGCTCAATAAATAACAGAAAAAAACATATCAAATAATAATCAACTATTTTTTTCTTAGAACATATCTACTAGCATATAAAATATCAACTTCCATTTTAGTTATATCCATTATATTTTTATAATTCCAAAATAAAATCTTATATTTATGAAAAAAGATAGTGATATGACCTACAAAATAATTGATCAAAAAAAAAAAAAATGGTACCACACATCTGATAACCTCTAAAGTTAATACAATTATACACACACACATATCTCATATATATTAATATAAGATTTGGTGAAGAAAATAAAATAAAAATAAAGAAACTAAAGCAGCTCCTTAAGATTGACCCATATTTATTTATTTATAAAAACAAGTATAACGTATAGTTTTGCAAACTACGAAGACGCTCCATTCCAAAAGCCTAACTCCACAAATATTAAATATCTTTATTTATTTTTTTCATATAATAAAATTAATCTGAGAAGAAAAAAAAACGAATAAGTGTAGGCCTGAGCTGTGTTTGAGCTGTCTCTCTTTCATTTAAATCTCCCCACCTCACTCACACACTCTCTCTCTCTATCTATCTCTCCTTCGAATCCTCTCTATATTTTCCCATTTTACCCTTCCTTCATCTTCGAATTTCCAAAACCTCTACCACTCCCTCTCGCCGATGTATCGTGTAGCGACATGATGAAGAACACCACCACCACCACCACCACTCATTCTCTCCTCTCCTTCTTCATCTTCTTCTTCTCCGTCGCTACTATCTCTCATTCCTTCTCAGTCTCATTCTCCAATGCTCCTCTCTCCGTCAACGAAGTCAGATTCATCCAACGCCGTCAGCTTCTCGAGTTCGCCGACCGCGGCGAGAATGTTACGGTAGATCCGTCGCTTGTATTCGAGAATCCGAGGCTTCGTAGTGCTTACATAGCTCTACAAGCTTGGAAACAAGCTATCCTCTCTGATCCTAATAACATCACTTTGAATTGGATCGGATCCAATGTCTGTAGCTACACCGGTGTTTTCTGTTCCCGCGCTCTTGATAATCGCCGGATCCGTACCGTCGCCGGAATCGATCTTAACCACGGTGATATCGCTGGGTATTTGCCTCTAGAGCTTGGTTTGTTGACAGATCTGGCTTTGTTTCATGTTAATTCGAATCGTTTCTGTGGTACTGTGCCTCGCACTTTCAATCAGCTTAAGCTTCTGTTTGAGCTTGATCTTAGTAACAACAGATTCGCCGGGAAGTTTCCGACGGTGGTTCTTCAGTTACCGTCGTTGAAGTTTTTAGATCTCCGGTTTAACGAGTTCGAAGGAACTGTACCAAAGGAGCTTTTTAGTAAAGATTTAGATGCGATTTTCATTAACCATAACCGGTTCCGGTTTGAGTTACCGGAAAATTTGGGTGATTCTCCGGTTTCGGTTATTGTTATTGCGAATAACCATTTCCATGGCTGTGTTCCGACGAGTTTGGTTGAGATGAAGAATCTTAATGAGATTATTTTGATGAACAATCATTTGAATTCTTGTTTGCCGGCGGATATTGGGAGGTTGAAGAACGTTACGGTGTTTGATGTTAGTTTTAATGAGCTTGTTGGTCCTTTGCCGGAGAGTGTTGGTGGTTTGGTGGAGGTTGAGCAGTTAAATGTGGCTCATAATTTGTTGTCCGGGAAGATTCCGGCGAGTATTTGTCAGTTACCGAAGCTTGAGAACTTCACTTATAGTTACAATTTCTTTACTGGTGAAGCTCCTGTGTGTTTGCGGTTGTCTGAGTTTGATGATCGGAGAAATTGTTTGCCCGGAAGACCTGCTCAGAGATCTTCACGGCAATGTTCTGCTTTCTTGTCACGGCCGCCGGTGGATTGTGAATCTTTTAGTTGTGGTCGTTCTGTTTCACCGTCTCCTCCTATTGTAGCATTACCGCCTCCTCCTCCTCCATCGCCACCTCTACCTCCACAAATCTACTCTCCTCCGCCGTCACCTCCTGTCTACTCTCCTCCGCCGTCACCCCCTGTCTTCTCTCCTCCCCCACCACCGCCACCTCCTCCTCCACCACCGGTATATTCCCCACCACCACCACCACCTCC